AGAGATATTGGCTCCTGTTTGAATATCAGGAGGAAAAAGAAGTTGGTTGGGGAAATAACAAACCAGGGTGGTTTGTGGCAAGTAGACTGTTCAAAAGGAAATAGAGTTTCCTAGAAGTACATTTCTGGAAACTAATGTCTTAGTATCATTGTTGTAAAGTTTATAACCTTTAGAACCTTTAAGATAACCAAGAAGTATACATTTATGTGCTCTTGAATCAAATTTAGTCATATTAGCATGCAATGTAGAAGCATAACATAAGCAACCTATTTGTAGGTGATCATATGTGAGTGCTTTGTTGTAAAGAAGTTCATAAAGGGTTTTGTTGTGAAGGACTATTGAGGGGACTATTAATAATATGTGTTGCAACCATAATACAGTCTATCCAAAAAGGTAAAGGTAAAGGTGAATGTGCATGAAGTAAAATGGCTTAAAAGATGTCGGTGCTTTCTTCTACTCTCCCATTCTCCCATTTTGCTGGGGGTTTAAACAGACTGATGCATGATGCCATGAGTAATATAAAATTCATGTAATAAGAACTCAGTTCCATTACTAGTCCTATTGGTAAAGATCATATTGTCGAGATGGAGCAGATTGTCTTAGGTACTAGACTGATTCTTTAGATCCATGTTGTTCTACCAAAGTCATCAACTATTATGAGAAAATATCTATACCCTTCATGAGAAGAAACAAAGAATGAACCCCATATAAGTTCAAAGATGGATACTGAGATAGAATGACTAATTGAGAATGAGAGTTTCTTTTGTCTTGCATAATAACACACATCACAAGGTAAGGATTGAATATTCTTACAGTTAGAAGTTGGAACGAAAGGTGACCCGTTATGCCATATAACATTGTTCACAAAGTCATGGATTACTAGTAAAGATAAGGTTATAAGCAAATTGCAAGCAACAGATGCCAGCAGATATCATAATTTTATCAGTTGAGTTGAGTCATTTTGTGTTGTCAAGTCTTGTGAGATACAATATGATGACACAAATTGGACCAACAATTTTGGTTGAAGCTAATTTTGAAACATATATTAAATTAAAGTGAAAACTTGGTACAGACAAAGCATCATGCATAGAGCATGCTTCAGTAGTATGTTCATTTGATAAATTTATTTGGATATTCTTAACAGGTAGGACAAAATTAAAGAAAGATCCATGACATATGCATATAGTCAGTAGCACATGTATCTACTATCAATGTGTGTTTAGATAGATTTCTAGTTGCCAGGATTAGAAATGCGTGACATTTGTGGAAAAACAGTAGGGGATGGACTAGACCTTGCTTTAGCCTCTTGAGATGTTTTAAAGGCTGAAAATTCATGAAACAACTCATTAGTCATTAGTCATGGAAGATGCATCAATGTTATCACTAGTAACAGGAGTAGTGCTGTGTAAGGCATTGGCTGAATGTTGAGGGTGAATCTGAGGGCCCCTTGGACCAATAACTTGATAGCATTTTTCTTAGGGATGGGGATATCGTGTGCATTTAGGTCGTTGCTTTTTGTCTTTAGAATAATGAGGTTTTTGCGATTTATAATGGCTTAGAACTGTATTAACTAGAATAGCCATGAAGTCAGAGGTTGGAGTGTTATTGTGTAAGGATATTTTGGGATTCCGAATAGACTTTAGAGAGAATTGGTAATGGTGTGGAAAGAAGAAAATGGCTTATGGAGAGGCATATGACTAATCAAAATTTTCACAACAAAATCCTGCTATTGCGACTCAGCCATAGGCTCAAAAATGTTACAAGTACAATAAGTAAAAGCCCCACAACATCAAAAGATAGACAAGTAACATATTCACACACAGAGACCCTTAAAAGCATTATATTACAAAAATAGATACTAATAGATAGTGAACCTTGATCCATTGTGCTAAGAAATTTTTATAGTTGAAAAGCCCTGGACAACTACTCATAGCATAACGATTCCTAACCTCATCCCATACACCTTTGCAGAGGTACAAATTAATTGAGATTGTCAAATTTCTTTTGAAATAGAATTAAGTAACCAAGAAAGAACCAAGTTATTGAGAGAGAGAGAGAGAGAGAGAGAGAGAGAGAGAGAGAGAGAGAGAGAGAGAGAGAGAGAGAGAGAGAGAGCATATATATGGTTTTGTCAATAAAATCTCGCTTAGTCTTGGCATTGAGTGCCATAAGAATTAAGGCTGAGCATGAGACTCGAAGATTTTAGAACCGTTCCGAAAATTGAATCGAAGTAAGTCCGAACTGAAGAATAACCGTTAACCGTTTGACTTTCTTTGAACCAAATCGAACCGAAAAAATAATTGAGACGGTTCTGGAGATTTCATAAATATACGTACTGAAGAACCGAATCGAATTGTCCCATACCGTACCGAATCAAATAACCAAAATTAAGAACGAATTATAAAATTAGATGTGTGTTATTAATATATTTTATATCAACTTTTGATCCCGTACAATTTGAGAATTTTTAAAATGCTAATAAAATATAGTAATAACAATTAAGTTTCACCTAAATTTCATGATTAGAGCATTTACAATGCATTGAGTCTAGTTTTGCCGATGTGGTATGTAAATAAACCTAAATCTTGGATGACATGGATAAAACTATGTAAATTAACAAAATTCATTCTAATGCAAGGAGACTAGGGTCTCTACTTGGGTCTAAAATAGACTTAAGGGTAGACCGGTCTCTCTAGTTGCCAGACCAGTCTACTTGCACTTACATTATAAATTTATTATTCTAGACTGAGTTTATTTCTTATGTGGCATACAAATTTTTTTGATTGAACCCATAGCATTGCAGATACTCTTAGTTATACAGTATAACTTATACTTGATCTACAATTGAATTTTTATTTTATAAGAAAACTATTTAAAACGGTATGAAAGGTTAAAAAATATTTTTTTTAAAAAAAACTATATCATATTTTGTTTGAGTTTTAAAGTTTCAATATTAATTGCGCAAATTTATTCTTAACTAAAATTAAGAGTTACTTCTAAAGTTGATTTCAAAATAAAACTTTAATATGAGGAAATATTGATGAAGGTTGGTCTTCTTAAAGCATATAAAAATTAAATAACTAAAATTTAAAGTTACTTTTAAAGTTATTTCAAAATAAAATCTTCAGTATAATGAGTATCAATAAATGTTGTTTTTTTTAAAGCATGTTATAAAAATTAATATATAACTAGGTAGTCATTAAAAAAAGAAAGTTAAGAAATAAGAAACCCCGAAAATCCGAAACGAACCATACTGAAGCGAAGGAACTGCTCCGATAGTCCCGAATACCGAACTTATCCAAAACTTAAAAAACTCCGAACCGAACCGTCCCATTTTTTTGTAGGGTTCCGGAGATTGTAGTGAGCTCCGAATTTTGGTACGGTTCTGGAGATTTCTCAATCTTCAAACTGAACCGACCCATGCTCACCCCTAATTAGACATGGCCAAAACACGGGCCGGGCCCTGGCCGGCGGGTCGACGGGTTGGGTTTCATTGATCCTGAACCGGCACGGACCTTGGTCGTGCCGGGTGCATGGCCAGGCGGCCCGGGCCGGGTCTGGGCCCACCTAAAAAAAAAAGAAAAAAATTTGAAAACAATGTGTTTTTCCCAGGCCGGACCAGGGTCCACAAATCAATACCCTACACCGGCCCGGTCGAAATCTGAGCCCGGCCCGGACCCTTGGTCAATGGGTTGACCGGGCTGACTCCGTGCCGGGCCGGCGGGCCGGGTGGCCGTGGCCACGTCTACCCCTAGTAAGAACCGCTCGCGACCATGAAACATGGTTTCCCCATTGTAATGCTCTGCAACAATGAGTGGGCCAGGATTGTTGCACGCTAGGTAGTAGCGCGGAGGTTCGTCGGTGGGATTCAAAACGACAACCATGGTGTATATCAACAAGATCTAAGAAATGCAGGTCGAAGAAGTGTAGATCTGAGAGATATAGATCGGAAAAACTTAGATAGGGAGGTTGAAAAACCCATAAAAGAAAAACTCAGATCGATTGGATTCAAAGGTTGAAAAACTACTCGAACAAAAAACAACAAAATGTAAGGAAATAGAAATCAGTGTGCGGAAACAATCAACGGAGGATCTCTGACTAATGATAACATGTTGGATTACAGAGTTAATGAACAAGAGATTTGCAGATAGATCGAGAGCAGCAAGCAAGAGAGTTGAAGAAGAAGAAGAAGAAGAAGAAAATTTTATTCGGTAGAATATAAAAAATTAGGGTTACATGATGTGTTAGTTGTGTATTTATTTCTAGGGTTACATTGCGCTAAAATAGTAATTTACATAATAGGACTAGACTGGCTATTGGTAATAGCAACTTTACAATTGTTACAAACAGTGGCGGAGCCACACCTTGTGGCTGGGGTAGCTGACCCCTATGGATTTCAAAATTTTTAGTATAAAATACTGTTCAAACACTGTTTACTAGGTTAATGACCCCGCTAAAAAATATTGCCGACCCCGGTGAAATTTGAGGCTGGCTTCGCCCCTGGTTACAAACAACTATACTTACAATACTAACATGTTAGTTTTCTTGTCGTGTTATTGGTTGGTGAACTGAAAATCTCCCTTCTTTTTTTTTGTTTTTTTTTTCCCTCCTTCCTGTTTTCTTAATGGAAGCCTTTTTAAACATGTATCAGCCATGCATAGTTCTCTTGTATTATAAAAAGGTCAAAATCTTCATGTAAATAATGAGACTTTGATGAAGAAAATGATGTTTTATTATATAGAAAGGTAGTACTACACTAATAAAATGTTCTGTGGTGATATGTTGTTCTGGTTTGCCACTTTGCTTCTGTCTAATTAAAGATATTTTCTAATTCTAGAGCATTTCAGTTTATTATGTATGAATTAGTTGAGTAGCTAGCTTTTTTCAACTCTAATTCTTCAACTATATAGCGTCTGATAATGAGTAAACCAAAAGAAACACATGTGGTTCTCGTTTGCTCTGTATATAATTTCATATGTATTTTGCTGATGGAGATTGGATTTCTGATTTAACATAAATAGTTCAATTCTTGAGATGGAAAAAGACGGTACTAGCCCTCTTTCACCCGTCCTGCCTAAGATGGAAAAAGACGGTACTAGCCCTCTTTCGCCCGTCCTGCCTAAGGCAAGTGGAGAAGGACTACCATATGCTCCTGTGGATTGGCCGAGTCCTGGTGATATTTGGACCTGGAAAGTGGGGAATAAAATCAGTTCGTCCGGCTTGTTCATGCATAGGTTCTTGATTGTTCCCAAGCGGCTTCAGAAAAACTCGTCTCGGAAAATATGGCTCGGCAGCAAGAAAGCTGTTATTCATTTTCTTCAGTCTGAATTTCCTGAGGCGGATGTCGAGAAATTTTTCGCTTCGTTCACTTGGGAAATCCCTGCTGAAGTACAGACCGCAAGAAAAGGTTAGTTTGGGTAGATGCTGTTTTGCATTGTTCAACTTTTTGGCAACATAACCGTGTTCTTGTTGCACTCGAGATGTTGATTTTGTGTTTTTTTAAGTTATCTATAATATTTTTTTTCTCACATTTGTGATAACCTTTTTTAGGAAACTAATGCCTAACAGTGCTTCAAATTGCTATTTTTGTTACAGTGTGGTTTCAAAGTTGTCTGTAGTATTTTCTGCACAGGTGGAGCTGTATTGAAATTTTAGTTTCTGGTTTATTGAGAATCTTGTGTAGGGAATGGACAAAGAATACAGAGTGCTTCATATTGCATTCATCCTTGCCTTGAATACTAAACGACACTAACTAGAAAGTTCCTCTGTGATGTCTTAAGTGATAACATACTGGAGCAACTTGCACATACTCGTTTAGCTTTAGTCTCTGTATTAATATTGCAGTATCATTTTTCATATCATTAACATGCATCATTTCCCAGTCTGAATTTTATTCGCACAATTAGTTACATGCACGCACCTTCTGTTCGCAGATAAAAAAAGATCTTCAAGGAAAAGGCCTTCAATGACAGACACACCTGCAAAAGAAGTCGAAACCGGAAGTCAAATCTCAAAACGAACACGGAGAAAATCCGCCAAAACTTCCATCCAATTTCCACCCATTGTCGACAACACAGCCTCCTCGACAGACATGCGTATGCTCGAGTACGTCCCCCATGAATTATCAACAGACAACTTAATTTCAAATACTACCGATAACCCAAATAGCCAGCCCGATATCTCCACCAGCCCAGCAAAAGAAGCCCCGGTCCAACCCGAACTCAACCTCTTGCCTCAGGGCTCTCGATCCCTAGCCGACTATCTAGCTGAGATGACTCAGGACGACTTTGAATTTTATCTAAATTCCCTCGACGACATTTTATCTGATTCCGCCCCCAAAGGCCCGAACCCATCATCATCAGACCCACTGCAAACGGATGACTTCACCAAAGCCCGGCACGAGCTCTCATCCCTCCTGGCCATGGGCTTCTCGAGCCTAATCTGCTCGGACAGGCTTCCCGAAATTACGAATTTGACCCTCAAACTCCAGCTTGATCCGAACCTGACTCCAGAGGAACTCTCGATGCTGAACCTCGTGCGGGAAATCCCACCGGCTGGTAAAGACTTTCTGGATGCCCGTCGAGTGGCCGAGCAAGCCAATAACTTTTTCTCTGAGCTGCGGACCAAGAGATCGCGCATCAAAGAGCGTAAGAACGAGTTCATACAGTCCAAGGGTAAAATCGCCCTTTTGCAGGCGGAGGAGGAGTCGGCCTCTGCCGTCATTCGGGAGATAGACGAGCAGATCGCTGTGCTGCAGTCCCGACGCGCGGTGCTGGCTGCAGTTGTTAAGACGAATGAGAAAAGGATTGCGGACCTTGTGTCCAAGCAGAAAGGGGTGCTTGATAGTGTGCCGAGGATCGTGAATGATGTCCAGGTAGCGAACTCAGAGAGGTCCATGTGGGAGTCGAAGAGGAAGGAGGCGGCTAGGAAGGAGAAAGAGATTCTAGCTAAATTTGGTCCCGTTAATGGCTTCTCATTCGTTCGTTGATCGGATGAGGAAGTTATGAGGTGGCGGAGGCACGTGGATTTTTCTTGGAAGGAAAAAAAATGTATGTTAGTGGCATTTCTTTAATTTTGATTTTATTTTTCACCCATGGTGAAGACAATTGTGGAAACTTTTTAGGATAATTACATGAGCTAACTTTGTTGTTCAATCTTTTTTTCCTTTTTTTTTTCTTTTTTTTTTTCAAGGTACTCTGTTTGGACACAGCAGATTTGGCGGTAACTGGACGGGTACGTTTCGAAAGCCGCATTTAGTTTGGGTCTTTTTTTGTTGGCCGTTTTGCAGTAGCTTTTGCATGAGCGAGGCAAGATCGGTTTCGAGTTTGACAGAAGTTTGAGGTGTATGATATATGTATGAGACTAAAGTTTTCCTAGGAGCGACGACCTAATTGTGGTATGATTAAAATTTGTAGATGCTTTTAATGTATATCCTTGAATGCCGGTATTTAAGTCTCCAGCTACAAATTTTCTGTGCTGTTGTGGACAAATTCATGTTTCTTTGGGAGTTGTCAACTCTTATGAATGCTGGTATTTAAGTCTCCAGCTATTGTATTGACATGTTATGGCGGAATCTTATTCTCAGTGGTTGTGAAACTCATGCATTCTTAGGTAATGGGCACTATACAGTACGCACATTTGGTGAAACTAAAAATCAAGAAACAATATCTGTATATATATAATTTAGGGAAATGTTACGGTCCCGTTATGGAATCATTTCGTTGATGTTTGTAACTGTTAGATCATCATCTAACTGCCGGAGATAGTTGATTTAACGGTTACAAACCCCGACAAAATTGTTTCGGAACGGAACCGTAACATCTCCCTATAATTTCAAATGTTGGCAATTGAAATAGAAGTTAAAGGGGTTTTCATGGATTAAATCATTATTTTGTGACTCTGATTGGCTCGACTCAGGCGCATGAACTCTCTCTCTCTCTCTCTCTCTCTCTCTCTCTCTCTCTCTCTCT